GTTGAGGGTTGGATTCCTGGTCAGGGTGCATATGGGAAGCAACTTATTGATGTTTCTCTTTCACGTTGATGTTTCTTTCTCCCTCTCCCTTCCTCTCTCTCTAAAAATCTATTGAAAAAGCAAAGAAGTAATGGATTTACACCAACAAGACCCAGTTCTGCCATAATGTAATTGCTATTATTGGTTAATGGCAAAGAGTCCCAGGAATGGAAATATAAAGCAAATGAATTAACAAATTTGGACTCATTTTAAACAGTAAATTTGTTATTAAAAGCTGTAACGTTATTAAAGACCATATATTTCTGTTGATAGAAGTATATTTTATCTATTTTGCTTGAGCAGTTGAAACATAAATGCCACTTAGGCATAACTACATTTTCCTGGGAATAAAATGATGAATCACTTCAGATACCTAAGGATCCATTGTTTGGTATAAAAACTAGGTACTCATTTAAATGGATTAAAACTTTGTCATTGGAAATACAAAACATAAATAATACGACTTTTCCTTTCTCCTCAAAGTTGTAATATATCTTGCAATCTGGTTTTCCACTCATGTTTTATAACTAAATGGCGATTCGCGGTTTCTGGTCTGACTGAGAATGGGCAGTTTTGTATCCCTTAGGTGAGCTTTGATGCTATTTTATTATTTGTGGGGAAAGAAGACCAGAGAAGCTAATTGAAAGCAGACACGTGGTAACTATGTTAGAAAAGACTGCGTGCTCACCGTGTGTGGGATAGTATGCTGTGCGCGAGACACGACCTACCCCACTCAACCTTCCGCCAGTCCTGGGAGCCCTATGTGACCTCCTTGTGACAGATGGAGAAACTGAGGACTGGGCTTTGTAAGTAACTTGTGCAAGTCGTACTGTACGCCGGTGGCACAGTCCAGGCTCCCTCTCAGGCCAGCTTTCAAAGCCCTCTGATCCACGTGCACCGACCCAGGCACCTGCTTCTAATTGCCCCACAAGACGACCGCACGCACAGCAGCACATACATCACATACATCACACATGACGTGTAATGGCTTTGTCGACACATTTACGCCAACTGCCTCTGGAACTCCGCGTGTCGAACGTGCATATTGAAATAATTCCTAAAATAATTGTGTGGCGAGAACATGAGATGAACACAATGCAGACCCACCAACTACATTTTTTATTCTGTGGGCTCCGCGGGAATAGAAAGGGAGATTGTAACCTTTAGACACAGGAGAGAGGGTTTGTGGTAAAATATTCTCTAAGCCTATAAAACCATTTTTCAAAAAATATTTTGAGTAGAAGAAGCACACTTAAAAATTCAGAGTAGGTGAAATTGGTTGTAGGTTAACATGGGAAAGATCTGGAATGCTTTTAGGGTTTCATTAGAACAAGCCAGTGTGTGTTCCACCGGCATGTTTGGTTTGCTTTACAAGTAGGTTTTATTGGTACAAATGTGCTCACATGTGGTAATGAATGTGCTGAGAAGACAACAATATGCGTTTCTGGAAAGATGGGAGGCGTTCTACCACTAGGCATTGGTCAGAGGGTGTCTGTGTGCATGGAAGTCACACAGAACCCGGAGGGAGAGAGGGCAGAAGCCAGGGCCACAGCGGCAGCCACACCCGCAGCCATGGCCACACCCACTGCCACGCCCACAGCCATAGCCACGGCCACAGGCCCCCGTGCGCTGGGCGCCCTCACACCAGGAGGGGAACAGCTTGGCAGTGGTCCAGCTCATTACAAGCACAGGGTTTCCAAAGCGGATAGTGGCTGGCGTTTATAGAGGGCGAATCATTTAGGTTGACTGTATTATTGGGATAATTTTGTGTTAAACACACAGAATGCCCTGCTTTCATGAGCGCTCTTAAGCATCCGCTTGGTTCTGGCGTTAAATAACTCACGAGGACAGGCTTTTCGTCCATGGTTTTAAAGTGTGGCCGCCGCATGGCCTTGTTTGTGTCGGGAAACTCCCTTTTGTCACCGAGGAGGGGGACAGCCCTCTGGGGGCTGTGTGCACTGAGACCCCCGCTTCGGAGGAGAGGAGGCGGCCACAGCTTTTTTAAAAAATTCTTTATTGTTGAAAATATTACATATTTCTGCTTTTCCCCATTGACTTCTCCTGGGTCCCCTCCTCCCCCTGCACCTGCCCTCCCCCACAGCAGCTCCTTTCTAAGCCCTCCCTGCTGAGCCACGGGGAGCGGGGAGCGCAGCAGCAGAAGGGAAGGAGCCTGAGAGGCATAGAAACAGACGCTCCGAGAGAGATGCCTTCCAGCAACCATGGGGAGGACCTCACTGTCCCACCCTCCGCCTCCTCCGATGGGGACTATAGCACCAGCACCTGCGCTGTGAACGCTGTTCGCCTTCCGGCCTCTAGCGACCCCTGTGAAAGGGTCGCTCGACCCTCAAAGGGGTCGCGACCCACAGGTTGAGAACCACTGTTTTATTTTAAAACTTTACCCACCATCAGTCTTCACATAAGAGCCTCAGAGCGGAGGCGGTACTGGTCGGCCTTTGAGCGGAGGCACACGGTCAGTCACTATGGGCGTCTCGTCGAGGGGACGTGAACGCAGCTGCCATTGAGGACAACTTTTCCTGAAACCCATTTCCATAGGAGTCCCATCGAGCCAGCCCTTATTCTGTTTTACACGTGAGGCCTCCAGTAAAGGTGGTAAAATCCTAATGTCTTAACTATGATTGGACCAATGAGAGAAATTCAGGAAAGCTGAATAGACCTCGTTGGTTGCTAAGTTTGTATTTTTGTCAATTCACTGTTCTCAGTATAATGTTAGCTGTGTCATGCTTGGCCTGTGTACTCACCCCGCGCCCCCCACCAGCACCACACAGAGCAGATACAGAACAACCTCCTGGGCTACCCCAGGGGGTTAAAAAGACCCTGATCTGTATGGGAATCTGACAAATCCAAAGTTTTCAAAATTAATTAGCTGCACTTTTTTTTCTTCTTTTTCTTCTTTTTTAAATTGATTTCAGAAAGAAGGGGGAAGAAGAGAGATGGAAACTTCAGTGATGAGAGAGAATCATGGATCGGCTGCCTCCTGCACGCCCCACACTGGGATCAAGCCCGCAACCCGGGCCTGTGTCCTGACCAGGAATTGAACCTGACCTCCTGGTTCATGGGTTGATGCTCAACCACTGAGCCACGCCAGCCGGGCTAATTAGCGGCACTTTTTATCAATTTCACTGAGAATCTCAGTTTCTGAATTAAAATACTAATCATCCTGAGAGGTTAACAGAAGTTTATGTAGCGGCCTGGTTTAGACTCATTTCCGGTCCCTCTGTCTGTCTCCTGCTCCTGAAGCAACGTGTCGGTCTCTGTGTTTTAAGACTTTAGGTTTCCCCTCGGTAAGATTTCATCATGAGTGAATCTTGGGGGGAAAACCATTCTCCCATGTTTGGAGCAGCTGTTATGTACGACGAATGTGTCTTATTTGAGTGATTGTTCATGAAAAAGGGGGGAGCATTGTATGATGTCATCACACTTTGTTTTCTCTTGCCTTTTAGGAGCCTAAGTTGTCAAAGGATTACTTTGCACAAAAACCTGTTCTTCTCCTTCGTTTGTAACTCTGTCATCACGATCATTCATCTCACGGCCGTGGCCAACAACCAGGCCTTAGTGGCCACGGATCCTGTAAGTAAAGCCAGTGTGACCTCGGGTTCGAAGGGTTGGTGGGGAGGTCCTGCTACATGTGCTGCGCGTGTAATTAGGTGCTCGTGTGTGTAATGTATTGTAAGGTCTGACATACAGAGAACATATAGAGAGCATATAAAGAGGTAAATGCAGGAGGTCCCAAAAAATGTGTATATACTTTAACAGCGGAGAGCTCAATTTGGAAAATGAAATGTATTTTAATAAACACTGCCTTTGGTTATTCAAAATGTGTGTATACACTTTTGGGGACACCCTATATCTCAATATTCCTCAAGTTAAAATGATCCAGTATTAAAAGGAAGAATACTTTTTTTGCTTCCATTATTTATAAATGTTACACATACCTTCTCCTCAACTTATGGCTAGAGTCCTGCTACTGGTAGGACATCAGCGTTTATGACTATATAGCCTTTGCTCAAAAGAATTAAAACATCAATCAACTAACTGTGTCATTAGGGGGGAAAAAAGTGCTTGAAAATGGAACATTTAAATTATATTTTTGGTATCCAGCTACTTTAAAAGTTAACAAAAACAGAGAAAAATAAATTCTACATCCCCTGTATAATGTTAAACTTTCTCATCACAAAATTTCTGAAGGGCTCTTCCAAGTCCCCACATGTCAGCAAACATTTATGAGACGTTTCCTTGCAATTCCTTTGGAAGGCGAGTTTGTAGGGCGGCTACCGAGAGATACACAACGGTAAGCACAGAGGCAGTCGTAACATAAAGCCATGTGTTTAAGCCGTAAGCGGAAACTTACATTTTTTGTAAGCTGTACGTCTAGGTAAGCCACATTTAAATTAAAATAGCTGCATAAATAAAAAGCATTCATGTTTTTTAAATCCTATTTTCACCACGTTTACAAATATCTCTGCTACAGCTCGATGTGGAGTTTTGGAGGGTGTGTATCTCTGCATTTGGCAAGTGGGGTTTTTAGGGATTAAGTTATCTAGTTACTGCAGTCAGGGGAGGGAGGAGTTTGTACTCAGGGGTCAATCCACACTGCTTGGTGTATTTTCAGGGAAATTTCTAAAACCCTCACGCCCCTGCATTGCTTGCCTGCGTGCATCAGGGGGCTTAGTCCTGCGTATGTTCCCTCTAGAGCCAGGGGGTGAGGAGACAGGAAACGCATGGCGATTAGCCCCTGACTCCCGCCGAGTGGGTTTCTCTGAGCTCAGAGCTCAGAGTCCCGTCCCAGCTGCACAGCGAGGGACTCAGACCGACGTCCTGTGCACGGACTTCTGCATGGACGTGTGTGAACATATAACATTTTTTGGCCGTTTTGTGTGTTTTTTTCACCAATGCTCAGCTATTTTCCTGAAGCACGCTTTAAGCTGTTTTTATTATAACAGTTTATGGATTAATTTGGTTAATGAACTTAGGAGTTAAAAACTCAGTTAGGAGTATCTGAGAACTTCTGGTATATGGATAAGAATTGGAAGCGGAAGGCTACCTTTTCTGTATAGCCAAGTGGAACAACTCATTCTTACCTTTGAGCGAACTTGGCTAATATGGTGTTACGTTTGACATCAAGGGATGTTATTTAAAATTTAGTGTCATGCAACCTGAAAATATGTTGAATGAAAGAGTAGGTTTTATAAATGTCCTGAGGCAGAAGGCACTGTGTATAGTCATGGAAACAAAATTGGAATTACAGGACTTGTCTTCAGAGTGTGGTTTGATGTTGTGCGAATATCAGGAAATCATTTAACTTTTTTAGTGCAGTTTTAATCTATGGGATATGTGATCAATAATAATCCAAGCCTCAGAATCATTTTAAAGATTAATTAAAATAATATACATTAAAACATTTTAGCTAAATCATATGCAAATGTTACTATTACTATTCTATGAGAACCCAATATTTATTTTCCAGTGTATTTCATTTCTGACTTTATTTTTAGTGAAAAGATATTTATTTCAAGAATGGTGGCCATTGCCACTAAATATCTATTGAGTTCCAGATTGGAGGTTGGAGCTGATGGGAGATTGGCCCTGTGTTTCTGGGAGAGCTTTTCATTTATTTCCCTGGTTACGAGAGTCCTGTATCTGCTACTGCTCTGTTTTCTTCACCCTGTACCTGAACCTCCTCTCCCTGCCTCTGTAAGAGCCGAGAACATGGAGACCCCCAGATAGAGGCAGGAACGCACTTTCCTTCTTTTCCGACACGAAGCCCTCGGGCCCCATGTTTGGAAAGACAGCGTCTAGGCTCCTTAGCCCCCTGCTCGATGAGCATCTGCACTGCTCGCACGTAATGTACAAGACTCCCAAGTGTTTGGCACTTCTCATGAATTGCTTTTATAATTATTAAGATGTTTTTCCCAACAGACTACCACAATCAGGAGTTCATAGACATAATTAAGACAAAAATAGGTGTGAAGTCTTTCGCATGTGAAACTTTTACACTTAAAATGACATAATAACTAAGACACATTGGAAGCATACGCATGTATGCATAACCCATGGACACAGACAATAGGGTGATGAGGCCTGGTGTGGGGGGTGGGAGAGTTCAATGGGGGCAAAGGGGACATTGTAATCCTTTCAACAATAAAGATTTAAAAAGAAGCAATAAAACCACTGGGACGTGCAGGCCCACTAAAGGCAGGAGAGTCGGGGCACGCACCTCCCCGTGCAGCTCACCATCGCGCCCGTTGGGGTCAAGGTAAGACTCCAGAGGCGCCGTTCGGTGAGCATGAAGGCGGCGTTGTGCAAACCTGGATGATTGCGTGTGCGGTTTGGGTCGAGAAGGGCGTCCCGTGTTCCTGTCTGACCGAGCTCGGCGGGACTCGCCCTGTGAACTCACAACCACCCCCTCCCCCCAGGTGGGCTGCAAGGTGTCCCAGTTCCTGCACCTCTACCTGATGGGCTGCAACTACTTCTGGATGCTCTGCGAAGGCGTGTACCTGCACACGCTCATCGTGGTGGCTGTGTTCGCCGAGAAGCAGCGCCTCCTGTGGTACCACGTCCTGGGCTGGGGTAAGGCCGCAGCTGCCCACTCACCTGCCTCATGTGTCCCGTAGAGCAAGCGTGTCAAAGCCACGGCCCGCGGGCCACGGGCCTCGTTTATTTGGCTCGTGTCAGCCTTTGAGTTTGACATGCTTGCTTTAGAGGGTGTAGCTCCTTTGTCATCTGAACATACTCATTGTGCATCGTTTTAAGGACGTCCAGGTGACTACCCTGTGCTGAGGGCGGTGACGTCAGATATTTGAATAAAACAGCGCTGGCTCACTGTGTGCAGGGGCCCAGGGCAACTGCAAAGGCACAGCTTTTCTTCCCATTTAATATTCCGGTGTGGATGGATCTTGGCTAGCCGCATGGGGACTAAAGTAATAGAATTAGGGCAATGAATTGGGACCCAGTGTTTGTACTTCTCTGAGTCTCCTCTCTCCTCATGTGCAAAATAAGAACCCTGGGCTCAGCTAGCTTTGACCTTGCATTTTTAAAACGTTTACTTAAAAAACAACATTGCCATTTTATCTAAGACAGGGGTCCTCAAACTACGGCCTGCGGGCCACATGCAAACACAAATATTGTATTTGTTCCCGTTTTGTTTTTTTACTTCAAAATAAGATATGTGCAGTGTGCATAGGAATTTGTTCATAGTTTTTTTTAAAACTATAGTCCGGCCCTCCAACGGTCTGAGGGACAGTGAACTGGCCCCCTGTTTAAAAAGTTTGAGGAACCCTGATTTAAGAGTATAGGGATCAGTTCTTGAATACGAGCGTGCAAAATATCTTTTTTCCCACACAATCCCCTGACACGGTGTCATTCACAAAGCAGACAGCGATACGCTTCTAGCATTTAAAAAGAATAACAGGAATGATGCGGAATACGAAATGCTGAAAATGAATTCAATAGGACTAGTTTCCAGAAACATAACTGAAATGGCACGTTATCTCTCTGCCTACCTACCTACCTACCTGTCTGTCTGTCTGCTTCTCTATTCATCTCCCTACGCACCCAGTCAGACAATAGACAGACGGTGCAGCTGTGTAGGCGCACACGCGGCTTTGGCGCTTTCGGGTCACCCTTTAAAACGTCTCTTTGGAGATCTGATCTAGAATGCCCACACCACGCAAACTCGTGGAACATGCAGCCTCTTTCCTCTTCCTCTTTTCTCTGTGAAGTCAGTCAATCCGTCCCCACTGTCCCCACACACGAAACCCTGCCCATGGCCGGCCACGCCCTTCCCACGGAAAACACAGGGCTGCAGGCCTGCGCTCTGGCCTGGGCGTGGGCAGCAGCGTGTTCAGGTGCTAGGCTCGGGGTCCGTGGACCAAATGGCACATGTTGGAAAGTCACGCACCCTCCACCTGGGAACCAGAAGTAGCTGACAGCACGCTTACTGCCTGAGCACAGACGTCACATTTACCCCTAACCGTGCGGCGTGATGGTGCGGGAGGGCCCCCTGGGCCCCGCAGGCCGTGCCACACGGAGGCGCCCCCTCGGCGAGGCTGCCTATCCGCCTGTGTCTTTGTCGCCCACAGGGTTCCCGCTGATCCCCGCCTGCACGCACGCCGTGGGCAGGAGCCTGTACTACAATGACAAGTAAGGCAGCGCCCCTTCCTGGCTTCTCTGGGGAGGAAGCGAAGCAAAACCTTCACCCCTTTCCCTCTGTCCGCCCGCAGGTGCTGGATCAGCTCCGACACGCACCTGCTCTACATCATCCACGGCCCCATCTGCGCCGCCCTGCTGGTGGGTAGCGGCTCCCCTGCTCTCACGCGTGTCTGTGTCCGGCTGTAGCCTGGGTGGGGGGGGGCACAGCACCTGCAGGTCCAGGCACCGACCCCACTCGGGGCCAGTGAGCGTGTGGAAGGGCTGCTGCTGCGTTAGCGGTGGCGGGTGGGGAAGGAGCTCCTTCTGGGGGGGAGGCCCGGGGGACCCAGTGGGAAGCCCTCATCACAGCGAGAAGGCCGGGGCTGCTAGGGTGCTTTTTTTTTGCCAGGCCTCCGGAGCCGAGCGCCCCGGGCTCAGGGCCCGCAGACAGGGACAGAGGCTGGGCCCCGGGCGGATGGAGACAGGAAACAGCCCAGGGAAGAGAAGACGAGACGATCTGCAGGGAAATCTCAGAGGCAGGGGTTTTCCCTTGTCTTGCTCCATGCACATACGAGGGACACGTATGACACGCCGTGTTAAGCGGCAGCCTGAGCGGCTTCACCGTGCGCTCTTTGTCCTGAAAGAGCCCGATCCCAGCCTGGTGTCACCGCTGCCAGGACCTCAGCGGGTTCCTTTGTCTCCTCCCTGCGGCTCTGTGTGCTCAGCTGTGGTCAGGGGGGGAGGGACCCTCACAGGCTGGGTCAGGGGGGGAAGGACCCTCACAGGCTGGGTCAGGGGGGGAAGGACCCTCACAGGCTGGGTCAGGGGGAAGGACCCTCACAGGCTGGGTCAGGGGGGAG